TTGCGCTGCGACATTACCCTGTGCCTAACTTTTATATCATGCTGGGTTTTGGCATTGCGGACCGCTTCGTTATATTTGTTTCTGGACTCGATGTCGGCTTGTCTGTTCTCTACAGTGGGGTTTTGTAAGTAGGTTCTGTGGGCCTTGATCTTCTGCTGGCGAGCAGTGTCACACGATTTGTTGAACCAGCCGTTGGACCCTGGTTTAGGAACTTTCACTGTGTGAGGGATGTATTCCTCCATTCCGACGTGGATAATTTCGGTTATTGAAGAACAGACAGTCGACTCATCCGCGTCAGTGAAACAGACATCTCTCCAAGGAAAGCTAGAGAAGAAGTCTCTGAGCCCCTCCCAGTCGGCATGTCCGTAATGCCAAGTTCTGCGGCCTGTGCGAGTTTCTGCTGCCACAGCGGCTTCTGACCGAAACCTAACCTCCACAACACCGTGATCTGAGTTACCCAGGGGGGACAGGACAGCAGTGCTGTAAGGGGCAGGATGCGTGGTCAGAAAAAGATCCAGCAGGCTACTGGAGTGTGACGAGACCCGGGGGAAAAATGTAGGGCTCGTCACCAGCTGGGTCAGCCCTTGAGTAAGAGCGAACGCTTCGACTGCACGACCTGCTGCATCGGTCTTATTTGAGCCCAACCAAAGCGAATTATGGGCATTGAAATCACCGAGAAGAACTACCTCTGAAGCGGGGTGATTGATGTTCAGGTAGTCGATCTGGACGGCGAGGTATTCGAGTAGGTCATCCCAGTTATGGTTCGAGGGAGAGCGATAAAGGCAGCAAATAAATTTGGGTGCTGTTTTGGAGTTGAGGCGAAGCCACAGAATGTCCTTCCGGTCTGATTCCAAAGAAAGATCCCTGGAGCAGGAAAGACTGCTGCGGACAAAAGCCACAACTCCCCCGTTCTTTCTCAGATTGGAGTGCACCTCGTAGTTTGGGAAGTTGAGATGGTTAATCGGTGCAGTCTCTGAGATTTTTGTCTCCGCCAAGAAAAGCACGGCGGGACGATTGGATTGCAGGTAGTGATGAACAGCATCAATGTTGCTGTTGATCCCGCAGATGTTCGAAAAACAAATTTTATCTTCGATGTTGTTCCCTCGAGCCCACCGTCCACCCGGACATTCCGAGAGTGGAGTGAGTTTACGTCCGGAGTTTTTAGTGCTCGAGGGATCCATCATCATTAGTTTCTTTGTTTTGGTAGATAACCGACTGCATAGCTTAGGTGTGGAAACATGCGGACATTTATAAGACACCCTGGGAAAAGCTAGCGGGTGGTACTGCCTCGGTCGACTGGTCCTTGTCTACCACCTTCTTTTTACGTGTTAGTGATGTTGAATAGACCTAAAGTGGCCCGTTGGCGGACTTGTACCGCCACCCGGCAATCGGTACTGAGGTATTCCTTAACGCGTGCACAATCACTTGGACGGGAAGAAGTTGTATGCTGGATACAACAACTTCCGGAACAAGCATTTGCCACGGCCCTCGCTCAGTAGGGCTCAATCTCGGAAGATTAGTCATATATTAAGTCAATTTATGGGCCAGATCAGATTTACTGAGCGGACTTCTAAAGGGGTAGCAGCCAAAAACCAGATGATAAGATAATCGATTTCAAACTTTAAGGAATCGATGTCCTCGATGAAAAGCATCTCGAAAAATTATCCATATATTGAGACAATTTATGGTACAGATCAAGTTTACTCAGCGAACTTCTAAAGAGGTATCAGCCAAAAACCAGATAATAAAAAAATCGATTTTAACCCTTAGAGAATGGGTGTCCTCGATGAAAAGTATCTCGAAAAATTATTCGTATATTGAGACAATCTATGGGCCAAGTCAAATTTACTGAGGGAACTTCTAAAGGGGTAGCAGCAACAACCAGGTAATAAAAAAATCGATTTCAACCCTTAGGGATTGAGTGTCCTCGATGAGACATATCTCTAAAAATCACACGTATATCAAGACAATTAATTGGGCAGTTCAAATTCACTGACCGAACTTATACAGGGGTAGCAGCCAAAAACAAGATATTAAAAAAATCAATTTCAACCCTCAGGGAATGGGTGTTCTCGATGAAAAGTGTCTCGAAAAATTATTCATATATTGAGATAATTGATGGGACAGATCAAATTTACTGAGCGAACTTCTGAAGGGGTAGCAGCCAAAGCCAGATAATAAAATAAAACGATTCCAACCCTTAGCGAATGGGTGTCTTCGATCAAAAGTATCCCGGAAGATTATTGATATATTAAGACAATTTATGGGCCAGATCAAATCTACTGAACGAACTTCTAGAGGGGTAGCAGCCAAAAAACAAATAATTAAAAAATCGATTTCAACACTTAGGGAATGGGTGTCCTCGATGAAAAGTGTCTCGGAAGATTAGTCATATATTAAGTCAATTTATGGGCCAGATCAGATTTACTGAGCGGACTTCTAAAGGGGTAGCAGCCAAAAACCAGATGATAAGATAATCGATTTCAAACTTTAAGGAATCGATGTCCTCGATGAAAAGCATCTCGAAAAATTATCCATATATTGAGACAATTTATGGGACAGATCAAATTTACTGAGCGAACTTCTAAAGAGGTATCAGCCAAAAACCAGATAATAAAAAAATCGATTTTAACCCTTAGGGAATGGGTGTCCTCGATGAAAAGTATCTCGAAGAATTATTCGTATATTGAGACAATCTATGGGCCAAGTCAAATTTACTGAGGGAACTTCTAAAGGGGTAGCAGCAACAACCAGGTAATAAAAAAATCGATTTCAACCCTTAGGGAATGAGTGTCCTCGATGAGACATATCTCTAAAAATCACACGTATATCAAGACAATTAATTGGGCAGTTCAAATTCACTGACCGAACTTCTACAGGGGTAGCAGCCAAAAACAAGATATTAAAAAAATCAATTTCAACCCTCAGGGAATGGGTGTCCTCGATGAAAAGTATCTTGAAATATTATTCATATATTAAGACAATTCATGTGCTGGATCAAATTTACTGAGCGAACTTCTAAAGGGGTAGCAGCCAAAAACCAGATAATAAAAAATCGATTTCAACCCTTAGGGAGTGGGTGTCCTCGATGAAAAGTATCTCTAAAAATTATTCATATAACTCAAATATCTTTCTTCAACGAAAACGTTTTTAAAAAGATTTATTTTTGAGAAAAACCAAATACAATGATGTTAATTGAATGAGTTCTGAATCGAGACTGACTGCAAAGTTCATTATACAAACCAAAGTAAAGAACCAATGAAATACAATACTGAAACTGATAAGAAAGGAACGTGGAGGCAAAAGTCCTTGTTCAGCATATTCTTCTCTATAGACTGGTACATAACTCATATTAAGACAATTTATGGGCCGGATCAAATTTACTGAGCGAACTTCTAAAGAGGTAGCAGCCAAAAACCAGATAATAGAAATATCGATTTCAAACCTTAGGGAATTGGTGTCCTCAATGAAAAGTATCTAGAAAAATTATTCATATATTGAGACAATTTATGGGCCAGATCAAATTTACTGAGCGAACTTCTAAAGAGGTAGCAGCCAAAAACCATATAATAAAAAAATCGATTTCAACCCTTAGGGAGTGGGTGTCCTCGATGAAAAGTATCTCTAAAAATTATTCATATATTAAGACAATTTATGGGCCAGATCAAATTTACTGAGCGAACTTCTAAACAGGTAGCAGCCAAAAACCAGATAAGAGAAAAATCGATTTCAAACCTTAGGGAATTGGTGTCCTCGATGGAAAGTATCTCAAAAAATTATTCATATATTGAGACAATTTATGGGCCAGATCAAATTTACTGAGAGAACTTCTAAAGGGGTAGCAGCCAAAAACCAGTTAATAAAAAAATCGATTTCAACCCTTAGGGAGTGGGTGTCCTCGATGAAAAGTATCTCCAAAAATTATTCATATATTGAGACAATTTATGGGCCAGATCAAATTTACTGAGCGAACTTCTAAAGGGGTAGCAGCCAAAAACCAGTTAATAAAAAAATCGATTTCAACCCTTAGGGAGTGGGTGTCCTCGATGAAAGGTATCCCGAAAAATTATTCATATATTAATACAATTTATGGGCCAGATCAAATTTAGTGAGCGAACGTCTAAAGAGGTAGCTGCCAAAAACCAGATAATAGAAAAATCGATTTCAAACCTTAGGGAATTGGTGTCCTCGACGAAAAGTATCTTGAGAAATTATTCATATAATAAGACAACTTATGGACCAGATCAAATTTACTGAGCGAACTTCTAAAGGGGTAGCAGCCAAAAACCAGATAATAAAAAAACCGATTTCAACCCTTAGGGAATGCATGTCAGTAGTACAGCTATAGGATTACTAGACCACCGATTTTGGTCCAGAACATGTAGAGGTCTAGTATTCCTATAACTTTTAGAACATCTATGGGAATACTAGACCACCTAAGGTGGTCGAGAACGTGTAGTGGTCTAGTATTCCTATAAGTCTTAGAACATCTATAGGAATACTAGACCACCTAATGTGGTCCAGAACGTGTAGTGGTCCAAAAATCCTATAACTTTTACTACAGCTATAGGAATACTAGACCTCCTAGACTAGCATGTAAAATTGTAAAACAACCCACACACAACAAGCATCCCCCCATCCCTCTCTCGCGTGCGTGTGCGCGGGTGCGCATGCGCATGTGCATGGGACTCGTTCTGGTTGGTGCTGGCGCGGGCGTACTACGGGGGGTGTAGATAGTGTTTGTGGCGTTCGTGGTAGGTGTTGGGGTAGGTGATGCGCGGGTAAGTTTGCGTTGTGTACTTTGGGAATAGGGATATTTTTCAACAGAATAGATAGGAAAGCACGTCTATGCGTTAAGTGATGTGGCTCATTTCATGTTTTGCGGTAAATATTTGCATATAGATCGATGAAAGCCGATGAATAATGGTAATTATAGATGCAATTCTGCGGATTTAGTTTAAGTGGGAAAAAACGTATGTATCATAAAATTCACGGGAGCAATGCGTATAGGATGATCTCAATAGGCAACACGTCGTATTCAGCGCGCATATAAAAATGGAATTGCTCATATGTGGTGCATACAGTTAATGATTAGCAATAGATGTAGTTGCTCCTTATCTACATACAGACTTGTAAAGTTCGTGCGTGAAGTGATTGTGAATAATTTCTGGTAAGTTTTAATTTTTAACATTGATACAATATTGAAAACATAGTACAGTCTATATTGTGTATCTAATAAATTCCAACAAGGCTAGTATTTTAATTTTGTTTTTGATGTATTGAAAGAGCAAATAGTTAGATTAATGCTAATATTTTGATCTTTATGTTAACTTCTTGATAACTTCTATCACTCACATTTTTTTTATTCATTCATTTTAGATAAACATGGACTTAAACAAGATAAATGAAATTGCAGCTACGGGCTACACGAGTAAGTTGAAAAAGAGCCTGCACGAGCTACCGCTTAACCAATACCAGACTGTACCTTCATTGAGAATCTTACAAGGACGTTTTGGACAGGTGCCGTTGGTGGAGCTAAACAATTTCGTAGTGTATCTACCAGGGAAAGCGACAGAAGTGATCATCAAAAACCTAGAAAATTTCACTCCGGGACGTTACGCAATTGCGTATACAGGCAGCGAGGCCAGCTCTTTCGGAGACAATCAAGTTCACCATTTTAAGCTTAAGAATCTACACGAATAAGTAAGAACACTACTTGTATTATATGCTAAGGTTGTTATCCGCGAGGTAAAGTAATATTGATTTGTTTTGAACGAAATTCAATGGATCTTTCAGAACCATTCAGCGAATCGGTTAAAAATACTGTTAAGATTTTTAAAAAAGCTTATGAAACTCTTACTGAAAAAAGACGTGCTTTTGAATCAGATAAAAAACGTTGGATAAAAGTGATTAATGAAAATTTAAAATTTTTTTACAAAGCTCTTAAAAATAAATATATTGGTGTTAATAGCCGAAAAGCTGTTCATACTGGTGTGGTACACTTGAAAAGATATAAATTTTTACTAGAGTCCTTTCATGTAGGTCGTGGTCCATCCAGTACACCAAAAAAGGTTGTATCGGAAGACACTGTGTCAGCCTTTGTTAGTCGAATTCATACCGGTGTTATTATAAATTTAAAACATGTTGATATACATGATTTTTTCATAGATGCGTTCAATCTATTTGAACATCAAATACAAACTAAATTCTCCGTAATGCCCATTTTGAAAGTAAATGGGACCTTTTGTGGTGAATTTATTAAGTCTTCAGATGGTATAGATATCAATGATTTTAAATATTTCAATACCAGAAATGCTATCATTGATCGGACTACAAATTTACAACAATGGTTCAAGGATAACATTGTTGACAAAATTTTAATAATGTTATCCCAAATTAAATGATTTCGAACCATTACCATTGGAAAGTGACAATGATGATGATGATTTTAACACAGATGATGATGGTGATTTTGAAATTACTTATCATTAGGTGTGTATCAAAAATCTTTCTCGTTTAGTACACAATCAATTAAGTAATGCTCACGATAAGAAATGGATTTGTGATAGATGTCTTCAATACTTCCATACAGAGAAGCAGCTACATGAACATGAAATCCACTGTCAAAAATTGAACGACTACAAAATATCATTTCCTAAAGACGGTATCCTTAAATTTAAGAACTTCCGATATGCGGAGAAAGTACCTTTTATAATTTACGCTGACTTTGAATCAATGTTACTACCATTCAGTGAAATTAACAAAAAATCAGCATTGACGCATATGACCAAGTATCAAAAACATGAAGCATTCAGTGCCGGTTATTGTTTCAAGTGCAGTTACGATGATTCATTATCATTTTATAAATCCTATCGCGGTATAGATTGTATACAGTGGTTTTCAAAAGAAATGGAGGAAATGTCGAAGTTTGTTCAATCAAAACTTCAATTTGTTGTTCCAATGAATACATACGTTGATTTTAAAAATGTTAGTTCATATTGCCATATATGTAAGAAACCATTCACAGCTGACTCTAAAATTGTAAGGGACCACTGCCATCTGAGTGGTGATTTTCGAGGATTTGCACATTCTAAATGTAATTTAAATTATAAAAACTCGTTCATAGTTCCAGTTGTGCTTCATAATTTGAGCGGTTATGATTCTCGTTTTATTATTAAAGACATTGCAAAATCTAATCGAGTTGTTTTGCTCCCATTAAATAAGCAAAAATATATTTCATTCACTATCTGAAATGTTGTATCCGATATTGCGTTCCGTTTCATAGATTCCTTTAGATTTTTGGCTGCATCTTTGGATAAACTTGTTAATTTGTTAGATATCGGAGCTTTACAGATATTAAAAAAAGAGTTTGGACACTTGAACGATGAAAAGTTTGAGTTGCTAACAAAAAAAGGTATATTTCCATACGATTATATTGACTCATGGCAAAAGTTAAATGAAACAGAACTACCTACACATGAACTATTTTACAATAGACTAAATGACTCAAACGTTAGCGATGAGCAGTACCGACGTGCTAAAGATGTGTGGTCCAATTTCGAAATTCAGAACATCGGGCAATATAGTGATCTTTATTTGAAAACAGACATTATTTTATTAGCAGACGTTTTTGAAAATTTTAGACAAACTGCTCATAGGATGCACGGCTTAGATCCCGCATGGTATTATACCTTACCAGGTTATACATTTGATTGTATGCCATGGTATACCGGTTGTAAGATTGGAATTTTAAAAAATGTTGATATGCTATTATTTGTAGAACGTGGCATACGCGGAGGAATTTCTCAATGTTGTAATAGGTATTCGAAGGCTAATAACAAATATCTACCGGATTATGATAGCTCTGCACCATCAACGTTTATCATTTATTTGGATGTTAATGCATTCTACGCATTTGCTATGACTCAGTATCTTCCTTATGCAGGGTCTGCTTGGTTGGAAAATTTTGATACGTTCAATGTACATGATATTGCAGATGATGCAGATATTGGTTACATACTCGAAGTAGATTTTGAGTATCTAAAGTATTTGCATGATGAACATAAAGATTTTCCGCCATGTCCAGAGGATCGGGTACCACCAGGTTCAAAACTAACAAAATTAATGACAACTCTCTACGATAAAACAAATTACATAATTCTTTATAGAAATTTAAAACAAGCTTTAGCACATGGCTTAGTTTTGAAAAAAGTTCATCGCATTTTGCAATTTAAGCAAGCTGCTTGGATGAAACCTTACGTAGAGATGAATACAAAATTACGAATGCTAGCTACAAATGATTTTGATAAAACCTTGTATAAAGACCTTGTCAATTCCTGTTTTGGAAAATGTATGGAAAATGTTCGAAAGCATCGACTAGTCCGTATCACTAACAAATGGGAAGGTCGGTATGGTGCAAGGAAACTAATAGCCAGCCCTAATTTTCATAGCAGAGTAGTCTTTGACGATAATCTCGTAGCGATTGAAATGAAAAAAACCGAACTTCTCTTTAACAAGCCCTTGTATATTGGAATGACGATTTTGGACATTTCCAAAGTATGCTTATATGACTTTCACTATAATTACATGTTGAAAAAATTCCAATCAAATACGTGTATATGGACACAGATTCGATGACGTATGAGGTAAAATGTGCAGATTTTTATGTAGACGTAATCAAACAAGATTGTTTTCAGTATTTTGATACCAGCGATTATCCAACAGATAATGTGTATAACATACCGTTGGTTAATAAAAAGGTTCCGGGAATTATGAAGGATGAATATAAAGGTATTCCGTTAACCGAATTCGTTGGTCTCAGATCAAAAATGTACTCTATAAAACTGCTGAAATAATTATGTCAAATATTGGTGTTACTAAGAAAATCAAAGGAGTCAAAAAAATCTGTAGTTGAAACGAAAATAAGATTTGATTGTTACTTGAAGTGTTTGAAAAATTTAGAAGTGCAGTCATTTAATCAGGATTTAATCAGATCTGAGAATCATAATATTTTTTTAATTACACAGTTGAAAAAAGCACTCAGTCCATACGATGATAGACGTTATTTAATCAAAAACTATCATGATTATTTACCTTGGGGACATTATAGCATAGTACCACACGAAGATATGTAACATGTACAATTTTATTTTAGGTATGGTAAGCCTTAGAGAATTATCACTTAAAAAAGTTGCAGAATGTGTAAATTCAATCGTTACTTTTACTAATGTGTCACCATTACCATGGACACTAACTGTGGAAATCATCAAATATTATACGAATTTTAAATGGTCAAAAATATTGCTTGAGGCACACGATAATCCTTTATGAGATATTTTAATTATACAATATGGAGCATACAAGGGAAATACCTAGTGAAACTCATAGGAAAGCACTTTTATATCAAGCAAATTTTGAAGACATATATATTTTTCCAAAGTATTGTGTTTGGATTGACACTTATTACATTCCAGAATATAATTTAAGATTATGTCGTGGTTGCTGTAACGCATATATGTTTGTATTAGGTTTCAGGTATCAAAAAAGAGCCATTGTTCATCGTGACCATTATTATATTTATCTATTTATTTAATAAAAATAATATCCACAAAGACCATATACAAAAAGTTATTACTAAATTATAAACACAACAATATAATTCCTCTTCATCAAGGACATCCTGATGACAGAAAGATGCACCTAGATGGTTCAAACCACCTGTATGTGCTTTCATCATCCGGACTTACAAAAGAAAAGAAAATGCTATTTATTGGATTATAAAATACAATAAAAAAAAACAATAATCAACCTCAATATCCCGAACAATAGTTCAATCATACTATTATACAAAAAATCATTAGAAAAACCTTTCAAATTGTGCAGTATTCTCAAAAATATATTCTCTGCAGGTGGTGCTAAATGTTTTAACATTTTTCAAATTTTTTAAGCGTTCTGGCAGAACGTTATATATCTTTGGTCCTATATACGTTATGTATCTTAAGTTTAGGTTATTGTTATTCTTGGGAATTTCTATTTGCCTGCCCACATTTGCACGAGTACAGTAGTTATGACTTACTTGTTTCTGTAGTTTTTCATTTCTATAAATAAAAGTAGATACTGTCATCACTTACAAGGACCTAATATTACACACATCCTTTGTAAAAAGTTTATTAGTGGGGAATCTTCTGAATAATAATGAGTTTATGTAGAGCATACTAATATCCCATATCTAATTATAGATTCAACAAATGCTTTATAGTTATAGTATTACAGGTTCAAGAAATTCATAACTTATACAGATCTAAATATATGTACTGTCAAAATAACTTTTTGGAACTATTGTTTGGTTTGAAAGACGAATATACTTGTGTAAATGACCTACATAACATCGATCATGATAATAGTCTCCCATATTTTACGAGATTCGTAGATTCTGGTAACGATCATTCCGACATTGACTTTTAAAAATGTATGTAAATGTGCTTGCATATGCTGCTAAACATTGATTGTATCATATTATATGTAACGAAAATAAAAAATTCGTTTTGCAATATGTCTATATGTTTCCTTATCCCTCGCTATAATAAAAAACACACAAATGAAATTTTGTTACAAAACCGTTTATTTAATCAACACTGCTTCATACACTGATAATTTACTAGCTAAATCACTTAAGAGCTTATTTTTATAGTACAGTAAGCATTCTCGTATACAATAACTTTCTATGTTACCATTACATACGTCACAAAAGGATCTTATTACAAGTTCATAATTTCTTTCTTGGGTTTGTAGTACTACGTTACAAACAATCTCTAAAAAGTTTTGATAAAATTGTTGGAAGCTCATTTTATATAAAGCACCTACTTTATATTTAATAATATTTTCATCAATATGGAGTATATCATTTATCACATTATATGATAGATAAAAGCAAGCCCTACTTGTGTAAACTTTCAAAATTTTACAATCTAAAGTTGACGTTTTACATATTTTCACATCTTCATCACCTTCAATGTGTTTAATGTCCTCTTCTTTGGATGTTGTAATGCATGGTACTTCATTGTTCGATAAATAGCTGATGTCCAGGCGTCGTAGGGTGAAAATAAAAAACTCCCATTCGTCAGCACTGAATGTGATTTCTGTTCCTATTTCTGATTTTTTTATCAATTTTACTGATGGTTCGAAACACCTTGCAATACTCAAACCACAATGGATACTTAACGGACTACAATCAGCAGTTACATAATCTGTACCCAATAAGTAAGATGTTTTTTCTTGAAGAATTTGTTGTTTGCACTCCTTGTTTATTTTGTCTATTTCAGCCCAATAGTATGTGTCAATATCCTTGCAGTAACTCTCAATCTCTGATTGATAGTTTTCACTATCTGATTCTTCACCTTCTATGTCTTTACGGTAGAACATCTTTATGAATATTGACAGGATGAGCAAATGATAACACTATATCAATCTATCTCCCCACCACAATTTTTAAATATTATAAACGATTAGATGAGTTTATCCAACTGTTGTGAGAACTATCAGAGCCAAGCCATTTCACGTAAACTTTATTATTTTTCTTTCTTAATACCTTCTCAACGAAATAAACATCTGGAATGGATGTTTTTTGTAATCCTTTATTGTAAAATCTTCCTGAAATCGGATTTCCACGTAAATCTTCCAACAAATACCTTGTAGGATTAGTTATTTGAACTTTCGATATTTTAAATAC